TTGCATTCCAAGCGACTGGCTTGGACTTCGCCGGTCCATTGTACGTGAAGAACAACTCGGGAACTGATAAAATGTACATTCTTCTGCTAACTTGTGCTTCTAGTCGAGCCATTCATTTAGAACTTGTGAAGGATATGTCGGTCGAAGGGTTTCTACGAGGATTCAAACGGTTTATAGCTCGTCGAGGTGTTCCTGAAGTAATAATCAATGATAACTTCAAGACTTTCAAGTCGAGAGAAGTAAAGCGGTTCATGCTAGGACAAGGTGTAAAACAACGGTTCATTCTTCCAGCGTCGCCATGGTGGGGAGGTTTTTATGAGCGTCTTGTTAGAACAGTCAAATCGTGTCTAAAGAAAACCCTAAGGAGGACTTATACAACGTTCGAAGAACTTCAAACGATTTTGTGTGACGTGGAAATTGCCATTAACACTCGGCCATTGGCATATCTAAGCGAGGATGACCTGGATGAGCCCTTGACACCATTCCATCTGATACAGGGTCGTGGTTATGTTAGAAGAGATCTCGGTCGGAGGAATACGGATATTGTACCAAATCTTAGTCTCGGACAGTGTAAAGATCGACTTGTGCATCTGCAAAAGGTATTAAAAGATTGTTGGGTTCGGTTTCGAAGAGAGTATTTAAATGAGTTACGACAGATGAACATTTATCGAAAGAGGAAGGGTTCTACTTGTGATCTGATAATCGGAGAAGTAGTTCTCGTCAAAGACGATGAGCCAGCTCCACGAACGCAGTGGAGAATTGGGAAAGTTATACAACTTGTAACCGGTCGGGACGGCCAAGTCAGAGGTGCAATGCTAAAGGTACTTAGCAAGAGTGGGAAGCAGACAACGATCCATCGACCGCTACAGAAATTGATATCGTTTGAGATCGCGGAGAATAACGTCAACGAACACAAGAACGTAGAACACGATGAGACAGCGGAGTCAACTGAAGGAAATGAAACACAACACGATAGTTTGAGAAGGTCGACGAGAAAGGCTGCCGTAGACGGACAAAACGCACGACGATTAAGAAACAAGTATTACTGAACATTCGCACACCGAATTCTTTGGTGTGGGAGGATGTAGAAACTTTATATTATGACACTTTAAATTGTATCAAGTTACATGTTTATTGCCATTGGTTAATCAGGTCACATGATCAGACCACATGGACAAGTTTATCTATGATTAGTAGGCAAAGGGTTGCCGAGTACGGACGTTATGTAAATATATTGAATAAAAAACCTATATAAAAAGTTGGATTAGTTCTGCTTTTTACAATTAGTATGATTATATAATTGTTCATCCTAATTACCATTCTTTTGTAGTCGTGTTTTAAGCTATTCAAAACACTCGAACTCGTGTTTTATCATATCTAAAACGCTCGGCTGCGCCTCGCGTTTTAAAAATGATAAAACACTCCTTCTCGTATTTTAAATACTACATTATATAAACATCAAAGAGAGATTTTGACATTAAATATATCAAATAATACGTCTGTTATCCACCACAGGTAGCCCATGTGCGAGTGCCCCATGTTACAATGGAGGAAGTTGTACAAATGTTGGTGATTCATTTGAATGTAGATGCCGTGCTGGATTTTTGGGAGATAGATGTGAAATTGAAGGTAAAAGTTGAATCATCCAGAAACCATGAATTTGTAGATACTGCGTTAAACTCTCCACCCTGCTTCCATAAGGGTTATGTACTTCCCATTTGGTCCATTGATAGGAGTAATAATTTATTTCGAACGTGAAATTTATACAATTGAAATAATACAAAAGAGCAGCTTGAATATGTTGTTCCGCTTACATGTTTAAAATGCGCAATTCGATTTTACTAACAATTGAGCTTTCTCTGGTTTAATATCACTAATGTAATCTTTACAGGCTGGACATACTAAGTGGTGATTACAACTTAGTTGCAGCTGAGGGGAGTATTAGGAAGGAAGTATATTCGTTAGCAGCCTCTCATATGGGACCATCATTTCTGTTTTTAGATCGTTGTCAGGTACCATATTTGTTCTTCTCCACATCATCGGGAACATTCGCCTATAATACAGATGAATCCACAAATAGTACAACCATGGTAGATGATCGCACAAATGCCTTATTCTCTTTTGATGGATTTAACAAACGGCTGTATCTCCATACGACGAATAATGAAATTACGAATTACAACTTGGATGGTTCAGATGCGACTACAATCGTCGTCGTAAATGTTGAATTTTTCACTGTGGATGGCCGGAATAATTTGATATACTATCATCACTCACTTCAGGAAAGAATATGGGTGTATAATATCACAAGTGGTCAACAATCTTCCGTTGATGCTCTCGCAGATATTGCTGGTGTAAAAGATCTGGAAATGGAGATGACAAATGGGTAAATAATATGATAATCAATTTTTCCTTTCCTATACGTTGTTGGAATGAAGTGTAATCGATTTCTTTCTAGAGTATTTAGATCATCCCTTGTACCCAACCATTGTGTTTAATTTTTATGTAAGAACTATGTATTCATTGTTATTTTCTTCTCCATGCCGTCTACCCTGTTAATTAAATACATGTATCCTTAAACTGAAAACATGCAACGAAGTAGTGTTCCTCGATGTGGCTGTTTTTTTAATTAAAGCAAGCAAAAATAATTTAATTGCAGCTGTTGAAAGCGATTGCTTTGTTAACTCGTTCAACACGTTTTATAAATACAGTTTACTTATTGAAAACCAAAGAATTTTCTACCTGCAATTAGCTAAAAATAATTTTTCTTTCAATTGTATAAAGCAATGTTTTTCCAGAAGTGAAATTTAAAGATATCAATGAAAGAATTACTAACTGGTGTAGTTAAATTACATTTAAGAGAAATTCTGGCGGTTTATGTGAACTGACTGTTTCTTCTTTTCTTAGTTATCTCTATATAGCAAGAGCAAATGATCCTACCATCATGCGTTACGATCCGTCATCTCAATCCACCGTGGACTTCAACTATGAAGGTTCAGCACAATCAATTTCTGTCGATGAATATAATAATGTTATCTACTGGGCAAATTACGACGCCAATCAGAACATTCACATGGTTATGAAAACTCTGCTTAATGGACAAACCGTTGGCTTAAATATCACTTATGTTGGAGAGATTGAGCTGACTTCAGATGTGTTTAATTTTTATGTCCTCGACAGAGACAATAACCGTATCGACAAATATTCGAAGGCATCGCTTGAAAAGCAAGGGAATGTCACCTATAACGGTCCAATACGTGATTTAATAATTGCATATGGTGAGTTCCATATTCTTCCTATCACATACAGCTATTTCAATTAAGATTGTCGACGAGCAAAGCGGAAAAGCCGAATGCGAGCGCGAAAGGCTGCTGGGAACCGCTTTGAAAATTCATTAATTTGTTAGCGATTCCCAGCAGCCTGCGCTCGTATTCGACTTCTCCGCTCTGCTCGTGGACAACCTTAATTGAAATTGCTGTATACAACAATTATGTGTATTGTCAGAAAGCTAATTACAAAAGTATTATGAAACCAAACAATTTAGGCTAACTTAGTGTTAGCCCTGTTTCTTTCTTGACTTTAACAATAATTTTAGCTTTAGAGTTTAGTGTGCGGTTACTTTTTTGATTTGGATTTCTTTGCCAAATAGTTATATAGCAGTCTGGTCAGTGTTACGATTAGGATTATCGTTACTATAGCGTTAGTTAGTGTTAAAAATCCGTGTAGGATTTGCACTGAAGCCAACAGACTTGTGCTTATTTGTGGCAGATTGGTTTGAGTATTCAATAGCTAAGTCTCGTATTTTGTCCTAACTATTTTGTTCTGGACTCCTTGTTCTACTACTTCTAGTAACTTAGCTAGTGCTTATAGCAAATAGTAAAATTTGTCCTAAACACTCATTAGTAGTGATAATCAATGTTACTGTAATGCTCTTAAATAAAATATTTTTCTAGTTTGTAACCCCAATTTCATTACAGAATTCAAAGCTTCTGATTTCATTTCTGTAATGGAGTTAGGTCAAGGTCATTGAACTGCTAAAGAGTTGGATACAAATAATAAGAATATGATAATGACTAAATGCTTAATATATACCTTCTCCGACCAAAAACATTAATTAATTTGGCTAGCTAATTCTGAGGATGCTGAAATCTCTTCGGTTTGTTTATTTTAAATATAGACGAAGACGAATGTTGTGTTGGAACTATCTGTCACGTAAACTCTACCTGCTCAGATTCTCGAGGAAGTTTTAATTGCACTTGTAACGACGGTTTTGTTGGGAATGGAACGGATTGTGAAGGTACTGTACCTTTTTAATGTGTTAGGCAGTTATTTCCCAGAATGTAACTGTAGAAACAGTTGCGAAGCCAGACATAGCAACTGCATGCTCATCCATCGTATTGCATCGTATTTGCATGGCATTGCTAATTGCTATAGCTAGCTCGCCACTGTGTACAAAACACGCTACAAGGTTTAATATAATTTATCTTACTCTGTAAAGAATCATAATAACAGTGAGTGCAATATCGTTTTTATGAACTTTTCAACAGACCCTTGTTAATTTTACATTCTGCGCTGTAAGAACTCCGTTTTCAGGCTCTCCATTCCACTTAGACAGTCCACGCTGGGGCTATTGGATTTGTCTCCATTTGGTTTTGCTTTTAACAAGTATTCAGTAATTGGAAGGATGTTTCGTATGCCTCAGACAATAACCGAATTAATTGCCCTTTATTTTTTTTTTGCTGAAAATGTTGGTATAATTTACCTATTTCTTAATTTTGACTTCCAAATTATTTTCAATCATGTAGATGTTAATGAATGTTTGAACGATCCCTGTCATCAGAATGCTACCTGCGTTGATATAATTGGTTCATTTGATTGTGTTTGTAATGAAGGATTTGTAGGAGATGGTCGTAACTGTAGAGGTAAATGACGCGGAAGCTAGAAATACAAACACAACTATTTAAGCCGGTTTTCCATAAGGCGAATTTTGCGTTCGAAGCGGAATTTTTCTTCATCTTTTCTAATTAAGGCCGTTTTCCGCGCGGAGCGGAATTTCGCTTTGTCTTTTCTAATTAGTTCCACCCGAAAAAATCGTAAGACACAGAGAAATTCCGTTCCGCGCGGAAAATTCCGGCTGGTGGAGAAAACGGCCCTTTTTAGTCCTACACGAGAAGTCACAAGACAAAGAAAAATTCCGCTCCGCGCGCAAAATTCCTCCTAATGAAAACTGGCTTTCCTCCCTGACAAAGGTATTGCATAAATTGTACTGCCAAGGCATAATTGTGTTGAGAATTTCAATTTTCCCTTACGTAGCCTACATTCGTTTGAAACATGGTGATGAAAGATAGTGTATTTGCTAGAATGTCGAGTTGAAATGTAAAAGATTCCTTGAAGGACAATAGCACAATTTTTTTAATAACTTATGTTTGTCCATGAATTGCGTTATTGAGGAAAGTTGTAAATCTTCCATAATTTCTCCGGCTTCTTGAAAAAGTTCATTGCGGTTATATAGTAGCTGGTTTTCTGCAAATTATTTCATGTAAAGTCCCGATCCTGAGTATCATGTCCACTTGTGTTCTTATTAGGCTATTTTATATATCCCAAATTCAGATTTTCCTGATTAGCAATTTTCAAATAATAATGTTAACAATTGTGATAATTCATTTCAGCTTCCAACTGCAGTATTCTTTCCTGCGGAGAAAATGAAGAGTGTATCAAGGAGAACGATATATTTAAATGTGTGTGTAAGGATGATTATGCAGAACCCGATTGCCGTCTGGGTACGTGTTCAATTGCTGCTTTGTATATTATTATTTCCACATTAGCGAAATGAAGAAAAAGTTTTTAATGTCTTCTTTCAAGCTGTGTTAGATACATATGAGCCAGCTTAATGAAACATATTTTTTTGCGTAAATAAATGGGATGCTGTATTGTTTAATGTATGTCTGTCTTACCAAATTGCACGAGAAATAACACTTTACGTATTGATATTATATAGGAAAAATATATTATTATGCCGTCGAAAATTCATCGTCTGTCGCATGACAATAAATCCTATATGCTCGCTCATTTGAATGGCTCAAGAGCTTAACACAAATTCATAACTGTCAACAGTCAGCTCGTTATTCAAAATGTATTTTGTTTACGCGCTTCCCACGTAATCCTAATTCCTATTTTAACCTAAATTTCATTTTGGACCTTTTTTTCTATGCGCTTAGGCAGCAACATTTTTTTCTATTTATATTACTTCATAACAAACTTGCAAAATTGTTCTGCTTTGCTTCCAAATTTGAGCGGCAAAGTATTAACTTTTAATTATTCATAATTTAATTGAATTATTTACACAACCTAACAGTTGAAAGAACATGCCTAGCAAGAGGTGATCCACACTACTCGACATTTGATGGAACACGTTATGACTTTATGGGCAAATGTGAATATGTTCTTGCTAAAGACAGTAGAAATAACACATTTGAAGTAAGACAAGTGAATGAACCATGTGGAAATGGAGAACCTTCTTGCACAAAATCACTAACAGTGATTTTCCCAAATGCGACTATCCAACTGCTGCGAGGAAGTGTGATGGTAAATGACACAGAAATTGTTTTGCCTGCAACGTATGGAGGTAAGGTCTTTCAAACTTCTTGCTACATATATGTGCTTTACGATTTGATGTTCAAGCTAAAATTTCAAACTAAATGCATTTTGCAAATTTAGTGGAATATTCTTCTTTTTCTAGTACTTCTAGTAACAGTAATCTTAAAAAGGAAGTTCAGCATATTCCCCTTTTATATTTAAAAGAAGTCAATATATGCCATTCTCCCTAGTATTGGAGCAACATTGGTGGACACACTGTTGCAAACTGCTGCTTCACACCTGATCACTAACTTATTACAGACAGTTATTTCGCTAATAAATCTGAAAGTGGGTAATATTTAATCTCAATTTTCGATCCTTTATTTTTTGTATAAAGGTGTGAGAATAACTGAACCAAGCAACAGAGTAACGTTGATTGAAAGTGATTATGGTGTAGAAGTTGAATGGAATAATGTACGTAATGTGAGAGTGACAGTGCTTGGACGCTATCTGAACAGAACATCAGGTTTATGTGGAACATTTAATGGAAATCCTGGAGATGATTTCTTGGCAAGAAATGGAACAACTGTAGACAATGCTGTAACCTTTGGAAATTCTTGGAAAACTGAACCTGACTGTGATGATGCAACAGATGTAGAACATGCATGTGTAACTTACTCTGACAGAAACGCGACTGCTATAGCCAACTGTTCAGCTTTGTCATCCTCTCCATTCAATACCTGTACAAGCCAGATTAATCCAGATTCAGAGGGTTATATTACCGATTGTGAGTATGATGTATGTGCTTGTGGTGATGATCCTATAGTTTGTCTATGTCAAGCAATAGAGGCTTATGTCAGTGATTGTAATTCAACTGGAGTGGATATTGATTGGCTGAGTGATCCACGATATCAACAATGTGGTAAGTGATCAATCTCGTTGAATTTCGTCACCGAGTCTATTGCAATTTTTGGAGATTTGTCAAATTTTACAATTATTATGCGGAAATTCCGAGTTTCACGTATGAAATGCACATTTGAAAAACGTGAAATATTCCAATTCTTTGCACATAATTTCAGATATGAAATACTGAGTAAAATTTTTATCGTGAATATCAAACTCAGATCCAGACTGTTATATGCAATGAAAAATGACTTTTTACGGGAACGAAGAATAATTGGCTATTTAAAGACGTCAAAGAAACTCAAGTTGTTCGAATGAATTCAATAAGGAAATGGTTTATGCCCATGGTGTTCATTAGTAAGCTGAAATGCATCGCAAATTGTATGGTCATATATCAGTTGTTTGCGAGTGTGTTAACCCACAGCCGATTCAAATATTTCCTCCAAATATTACTAAAAAAACTACCACAGGAATGTCTTAGGGTGGAATTGCTAAACATTTATTAACTGAAATTTTAACAGTTTTAATGTAATTTAGGTTCACCATGTGCCAGTGATCCATGTTTCAATGGTGGGACTTGCTCAAATGATGGACAGTCATTCTCTTGCTCATGTGCTGTTGGATATGATGGTGATCGCTGCGAAATCGAAGGTATAAACATTATTTTCAAGAACGTTGTGTAAATTGCATATTACTGTTATGTGTAAATGTTGCATACCAAATGAGCTTCCGTGCCTTCTGATTGGCTAGTTGAGTAGTAACTATGACGCATTATTTAGCAGGAGACTAGTAAATAATTCTTTTCAAAAAGAATGATTTGGCAAATTTGAAAAAAAATATGAAAATAAATCGTCCCCAGAAACAGAAAGAAGCAGAAAATGTTATCCTATAGATGTCTCAATTTCGTACTATTTTTTTGGTATATCATGTTTTCATTGTGTTGTATGGTCTCCTGACACTTTATTGTGTTTTCGAAACTTGTGAAGTGAAAAGTGTATTAAAACTTTGTGTCGAGGCAGTCTAGCAATTATAGTTTTACATTCTATTTTACCAAATTTCTCAGCCATTTCCTGAACAAATGCAATTTTCTAGTTCTAATAGTCTGTTGAACAATTCATTCCATCATTGTGTTTATATTCTAAGCAGAAATCGAGAAAAAAGCAGTATGGTTGGGCAATTTACTTATGAATTATTAATGAGTTTGAGATCTTTAGATAATTTATAATTTTATCTCTTTCCTGTTCTTTTATTCATTACTTCACTATTTTATTTTAACTTGCATAAAGTTTCTTGTTATCCATTCTTTGATTCTCCTTTATTCTATTCAATAAAATATAAATATATTATGCATATTTCTATCTTGTCTTTTATATTGTCTCGTTTTTCTTTTGTATGTATTATTTCTGGTTCACTTTGTGCTAAACGTTTTATCCACTCTAGTTTTCCTGCTTTAAATTTCGTTCAATTTCGATGAAAAGTGAATCGGAAATTGGCATTTTGTCTTGTCACGGAGGACAGAGGCAGGGCCGTCCTCAGGGAATTCTTCAGGGGGGTGTAAGGTCATTTCAACCAACTGACGAAAAATTCTTTTCGGAGACCAACAACCTCTCCCCCTCCGTCGACAACTTTTTAGGGGGAAAAATTTTCTGGACGAGTACGTTGCAAATGCTTTCCAGTGACATCTCAATTTTTCATACCAAAATTCTGAAATTTACCCAAAAACCCAAATATCTTGCCCTTTGCGCGGAAATATTTAACCCATATAGCAGTCCTGCCGACTGAATAAAATTTTTTGGGGAGTGTCACCCCCCCGTATCTCCGGCCCTGGACAGAGGAAATTGTTTGCGTAATTGGTTGTCGTCGTATCGTCTTAAAAACTTATTTCAAGACGCCTCATCAACATACGTTGGTTTTCATGAGGGGCGTCGTCAATTTATGTACAGATATTTACAAGAGACTAAGTAGAAACAAAGAAAAACTATTTCAAAAGTGCATGCTGAATACAGGAGGTGTGACTCGTACACATTAACATTATAGTAACAGAGTCAAAGATTAATATTTTATAATATTTGTGGTGTTACTCTGAGTGCATATCCACACCGGGCGAGCTTGAAAAATATGCCCGGCCACGGTGGGATACCACGGATCCCACCGTGGCCGGGCATATTTTTCAAGCTCGCCCGGTGTGGATATGCACTCAGAGTAACACCACAAATATCATATTCACCTGAGTACACTACACCAACACAGAAAAAAATTCAGATTAATATTTTGTTTGAAAATATGGATTCATTGTGCTTCTTTTGTTTCCCGAGAAAGACTATTCCAAAGTTTGCCCCACGGTATTTAAAACTTTTTGGGGTAATTCCCTTCTCGGTTTTGGGAGAGCTAAATCAGTATAGCTATTTCTTAAATTATAATTCGCTTGCGTTAAGCTACTCCCAATCACTGACTCTTTCAAGTTCGGAGCAGAATAATCGTTTAGAATTTTATACAGAAGAATGGACTTCATCTTCTGTCTTCTACCATTGAAATGTTGCTTTTATAGCAGTAAACCAACAACGAGAGAAAAGGTTTTTTAACTAAATCTACTGCAGACTAAAATCCCCTACAAAACGTGTAAATAAGTCATAACATTGAAAACAGGCCAGATATTTAGTACGAATATATTATTTGCGCCGGATAAACGCTATGTCCCACAGTGGAGAACAGTAATCAAAATAAGGCTGAATCAAGGCATTATAAATAAATTGGAGTGAGCTTACTGGAATGACATCTTCAGCCCTTTGCAACATTGCAATGCCAGATCCAACCGTTTTCAATACCTTTTCGAACTGTGTATCCATTTAAGGTTTTCCTCTAATAATACGCCCAGACTTTCAAAAGAGCTAGTTGCTATACACGATGCTTGACTTGGTTCGCTTGTGAAGGGAAACAGTCTTCGAAATCCCTCTAATTTTTTTCATTTTCTTTGTATTATTGTTCAACTGCAATTGTTTTATTCTCTTTTATGTCTTTTATTTTACTGTATTTAACATCCTCAATGTTTTATTTGCCACTTACATGCAATGTTTTTTTTAGTTTCTAGTTGTGATCAGTTAACTTGTGGTGCAAATGAAATTTGTGTGTCGTCTGGGGATACATATGAATGCGTTTGTCATCCCGATTACGAAGGAGAAAATTGCCAAGCTAAAGGTCCATATAATTTAATAACCACGTCTTTTAATCAACTAATTTGAAGATGTCTTAACGTCTGCGACGACACTCTTTCTCGACCTGCGCCCATTTGCTATTTTACCACTAAATTGTTCCTAATGTAAATATCTCCGCGAATGTCTACACTTTTGAAATCCTCACCAAAAAAAATTTTCAACAAGGGATTTGTATGCCGTCAAAGCGTTATAGAAATCAAAACAATCATACATTTACTCATCCTTGGTCAAACATCTCAAGTATTTCGATAAACACAGTTAATGAGAAATTAATATCACATTTGTTGTAATAAAGATAAATTAATCTGTATGCTAAGCGTAATACGTAATGTAAAGCACATCTGATAAAATCCACATGTAAAATTTGCGCTATAGAAATGTTCGTAATCGCACGCGTACGAATGTGTCAGCATGTTTGGCCAACAAACGATGGACAACAGCATTGCCACATAGATATCTTATATACACTAGATAGGGCGGTCATGTTAGAGTTTCCCACTCGCTAATAAACGCTTAAAAAACAACAATAACTTTCATCATTTGAATAGTTTAAAAATGTATTTGGAATAGGTTTAACTTAATGTTTAAGTTCACTGTTTAAGAAATAGAAAACATACCAATCTTCTCATTTCTTGGGAATACCCTGAGCCTGCAATCACGGCTTCAATTTTTGAATTGCAGAATAATTAGATGCACTATCTTGTGAATATAAGATATCTATGGATTGCCATCACTGGAATAGACAAATGACATGCCATTTCAAGGCAAAGCAAATTTGATCCTTGAAAGAAAAGAAGCTTGAAAGAAGGCAGTAAGAACGGGAAACAACGTATTTTCTATTCCCAATCCATAATCCATTTGACTGGTTCATGTACAGTATATGTATGTAAAATATATACGTGCGTTGCTTTCTTAATAATAGTTAAACAAGTCACACTATTTCTATACACTATTGTACACTTGTACATACACACGTTCACATATCCAAGTTACTATTTGGTTCAGGTTGCCGGTAATCCTTTTAACAAGGAGACGAAATTGTGAAAACGACGATTAAAAAGGGCCATTAAGGGCATAGTAAAAGACGTTTTAGATCTCCGGCTAAATCAAACGTCTTTTGTTTAGCGCGACTAATGTGAATAGGAGATGAAATGTGAAAAACGACAAAATATAAAATGTTTCCAGCCAGCAACTTTAATCGTAAATCGTAATGATATAAACTAGGTATACTTTTCGCCGAACATAACTTCTGTCCCTTTGGACACATCTTCTTCGTAATAGTCTTGTCGGAATCCCTATCCAAAACACTATTTACAATGTTATTTTGAAGTTTCTATCTTAAGATTTTCATCTTTTATTACTTTATTTCAGTCTCTAACGAATGTCTGAACCGCAAACGCAAATTCAATCGATCAAAAAATTAGATGTTCGTAATAAGGATCAAATTTGCTTTGCCTTGAAATGGCATGTCATTTGTCTATTCCAGTGATGGCAATCCTGTTGTCCATCGTTTGTTGGCCAAACATGCTGACACATTCGTACGCGTGCGATTACGAACATTTCTATAGCGCAAATTTTACATGTGGATTTTATCAGATGTGCTTTACATTACGTATTACGCTTAGCATACAGATTAATTTATCTTTATTACAACAAATGTGATATTACTTTCTTATTAACTGTGTTTATCCCAAGCCACGTCTTTCAGCATGTTGTTGACGTTGACTCTTTTCACATGAGTCCACAATCGAACCCACACACTCAGAAGTGAAAGGCGCTTGCTGTAACGACTGCGCCACTGATGTCCACGTATTTCAAGCTGTATGATATTCCAGGTATAAATATTTATTTTTGTGTTTCTTTTAGTTGAAGCAACATGTAAAGCTCAGGGAGATCCGCATTACACCACATTTGACGGAAGACGTTACGACTTTATGGGTAGATGTGAATATATTCTGGCTAAAGACCATGTAAACAACACATTTGAAATAAGGCAAACAAATGAACCATGTGGAAATGGAGTAGCTACATGCACAAGATCATTAACAGTAATCTTCCCAAATATAACAATTGAACTTCGAAGAGGAAAGACTTTAGTAAATGGTGCGGAAGTCACAATGTCAACTATTTATGGAGGTAAAACAAACGTCATATGTTGCTTTAAGTAAAGTGACATACATTGCGTGGTGTTTAATGAAATGTTATAGAGAAGTGAAACGTTAGTGAATAATCTGGTGTTCCTTGTTGAGTTAGATTTTGTGGAGACATATTGAGGGTGGATAATGACTCTTTCTGGTGCTTGTAATATAGGGTGGGGTTGTACTAGTTACGAATAAGACTTTTATAAAAGGGCATGCAGTAAAATGATGGCAAAGCTCAGCCACTCAATGTAGAATAGAATAGAATAGAATACACTTCTTGACATATCGATTAGAAGGTTCGTTACCAGAATATTAAGATCTTTGCAACTGTCATTACAATACACCATGCTTGCTTACTCACGTGCGGAATGCTTCGATAACAGTTTAATTAAATATTATTTCAGTGTAGCACTACCGTTCATAGATCGGCGAGACTAGTTCTTCCATATAAAGTCGTTTTTAACCTTTTTTTTTTGTAAGGTGTCAACATCACTGAAACTGGAAATGGAAATAGAATAAATACAATAGTAACAAGTGAATATGGTGTAACTGTCCACTGGAACAATGTTTATAACGTACGAGTGATAGTTGGAGGTCGGTATTTAAACAGAACATCAGGTTTGTGTGGTATATATAATGACATGGAAGATGACGACTTCTGGGCATCTAATGGTACAATTGTAACTAATCCAGTGGAATTTGGAAATTCTTGGAAAGTTGATCCAGACTGTGATGATGCAAATGAAGTAGAACATCCCTGTGTTGTCAACTCAGACAGAAGATGGATAGCACAAGCCAACTGTTCAACGTTACTCAGACCTCCTTTCAATGAGTGTTCAAGCAATATAAATGCGACTCAAGAAGGATATATTTCAGATTGTGAATATGATATGTGTGCGTGTGAAGATGATCCCGTTGTTTGTTATTGTCAAGCTCTCGAGGCTTATGCTGATGATTGTGCTTCCTTTGTTGATATACAGTGGGAAAACTTGGAAGAATTTTCAGTTTGCGGTAAGGTTTTGAGCGCCGTTGATTATTCATTTTACAGGGTAGAAAAATGAGCATTTTGTCTCCTCTTGAAGGATGGATCAATATTCTAAAGGAATCTCCCAAGGCTGTTGATATAAAGCGCTCAAAAAGATTGACATAATATGTTTTTGAATAGCTTTAGAGCATAGCTTAGCAACAAAATGTTAAAAGCAGCATTGGTAAACATTGAACTAAATCTGTTGATCCACATAGAACTTCACCCATATTTTATTTTGCAATTGTCATCCTGTTGTTCCCCCTCAATGGGCTTTGATCGCCTCAACACACTTCTCTACTCCACCCTGTCAGCAATAATTTCACATCTACGACTTTACCTTTATCTCGAATATAGAACCTCCAACACTTTTTCGGTTATCCTGTCTTTTTGTCCCTACGGAAGTATCTACTTCCAACTAGCTTGTATCTCGCAAGCTTCTTTTTGTCCACTCTCTTTATACGGTCTTCCTTTTCCACTATATTGTTTGTTCCCTCCACCACCTTCAATTCCTTCCTTATATCTCCTTTTTTAGTTCAACCTCTTCCTGTTACTTCTCTAGTAGCCTCTGAACATCTCACCTCCACTACTTCCCACACATTTTATCGAAAATTTTTACCAGATGTTCGAACGTTTAGTTTGCCAGTTTGTCTAACGAAGCTGACGTTGTCTTTAACTTCTTGTTCAGGCATTCGCATTTCATTGGACAGTGACTAAACCGCTTTTTTCTTCGCATGTAGTTTTTCACCAATCCGAAACAATCCGATGATTTCTTGCATTTCGTTGATCCGGTCCTGTCCATTTTTGGAAAAGTGAAACAGACTTTTTTTCATGAAATATCCCAACTTTTTCGTTTCTTGCACAACTCTTTACACCTTACACCATAACTAATATGAGAAGCTTTTATATGTACATTATATAAACATCAAAGAGACATTATGTCATTAAATATATAAATTACTACGTCTGTTGTTATCCACCACAGGTACCCCATGTGCGAGTGCTCCATGTTACAATGGAGGAAGTTGTACAAACGTTGGTGATTCATTTGAATGTAGATGCCGGGCTGGATTTTTGGGAGATAGATGTGAAATTGAAGGTAAAATTTTAATCATGAGGAAAATATTAGTTTGTAGATACCAATGGTAATCTCTCCATCCTGCTTCCGAAAAGGTTATACAGGTCTAAAAAAAACGCTATGGAAATTCGACAGGCTGTTGTGCATCACAAACTTAACTAAACAATTCAATTTTTATATAGGACGAAAGAACAGTTATTTAGCTTTTCTATGATACCTTTCTTAAACCATAACGATGAGAAATGGCCGCATACTCGTCAAATAAAAAGTGTCGGTCGAAATCACATTCTTCCACAGTTGGGATTGAAAATACATTAATTATGCAAAGTTAATCAATCCAAAAGCACCGCGAGTCTGCTGCAAGGTACTTGTTTCGTAAAACGTTTTTATTACGAATGTTCTCTGTTCAGTGGTTAATTGAACCATGTTTAATGCAATAATCGACGTTCTTATGGCCTCACTAAGACGAAGATTGAGGAGTTGAGCTTATTTTAGAAAATTTAATATTCAATTTTAATTCCCTCTTGGGAACTGTTTATGTTTCATTTTCCATGCAATTCCCAACGGTGGAAGAATGTGATTTCGACCGGCAATTTTTATTTGACGAGTATGTGGCCATTTCTCATCGTTACGATTTAAAAAGAGTATCATTGAAGAGCTAAATAACTGTTCTTTCGTCCTGTGTAAAAATTGAATTGCTTAGCCACGTTTATGATGCACGACAGCCTGTTGAACTTCCATAGCATTTTTTTTAGAAACCCTGTATACCTCCCACTTTGTCTATTGATAGGAGTAAAAATTTATTTCAAACTTGAAATTTATGGAATTGAAATAATACAAAAGAGCAGCTTGATTATATATTCCGTTTACATGCTTGAAATACACAATTCGATTTTACAAACAATTGAGCTTTCTCTGCTTTAATATCACTGTGATAAATTATTCTTTGTGTCTAACAAAAGTTCACAGTAGGAAGAAATTTGGACTACACGAGGAAAATGTACACTATATGAACACTTCATTATGACGTTTAACGTTCAATCGCCAATCTTTTTATCCTAACATTTGGGAGCTCTCTCCTATGATGACTTGAAGCAGCAGGCAAAGATGACTTGAAGCAGCAGACAACGTAACATATGACTATATATCGCTTAATAAACTAGTTCCGGTTCCTGCCGGAACTTAATCTTTACAGCCTGAGCATACTAAGTGGTGATCACAAATTAGTTGGAGCTGGGGGGAGTGTTTGGAAGTAAGTATAGTTGTTAACAGCCTCTCGTATGAGACCATAATTTCTGTTTTTAGATCGTTGTCAAGTACCGTATTTGTTCTTCTCTACATCATTGGGAACATTTTCCTATAATACAGATGAATCCATAAATAGTACAACCATGGTAGATGATCGCACAAATGCCTTATTCTCTTTTGATGGTTTTAACAAACGGCTATATCTCCATACGGCGAATAATGAAATGACAAGTTACAACTTGGATGGTTCAGTTGCGACCACAATCGTCATCACGAGTGTTGAATTTTTCACTGTGGATGGCCGGAATAATTTGATATACTATCATCACCCACTTCAGGAAAGAATATGGGTGTATAATATCTCAAGTGGTCAGGAATCTGCCGTTGATGCTCTCGCAGATATTTCTGGTGTAAAAGATCTGGGAATGGATATGACAAATGGGTAAATACTGTAATATGATAATCAATTTGCCCTTTCCTATACATTTTTGGAATTAAGTTTGTAGAGTATTTAGGTCATCCCCTGCGTAAGGATACCCAACCATACATTTTGTGTTTATTTTTTTACATAAGAACTATATTCATTGTTATTTTCTTCTCCGTGCAGTCTACCTTGTTAATAAATAAATACATGTATCCTTAAACTAAAAGCATGCAACAAAGTAGTGTTCCTTGCAGTACCAGTTTTCTTCATTAAAGGAAGCAAAAATAAATATAGCAACTGTTGAAAGACATTGCTTTCTAAGCTCGTTCAACTTTACTTTTTATTAAAAACCAAATAATCTACTATGTACAATTAAATATACTTTTCCTTTCAATTGTGTAAAGAAATGTTTTTCAAGAACTGAAATATATAAAGATATCAATAAAAGAATAACTAAGTAGTGTAGCTAAATTACATTTAAGGGAAATTCTGACGGGTTTATATGAACTGATTCTTTCTTCTTTTCTTAGTTATCTCTATATAGCAAGAGCAAATGATCCTACCATCATTCGTTACGATCCGTCATCTCAATCCACCATAGACTTTAACTATGACGGTTCAGCACAATCAATTTCTGTCGATGAATACAATAATGTTATCTACTGGGCAAATTACGACGCCAATCAGAACATTCATATGGTTATGAAAACTCTGCTTAATGGACAAACCGTTGGCTTAAATATCACTTATGTTGGAGAGATTGAGCTTACTTCAGATGTGTTTAATTTTTATGTCCTCGACAGAGTCAATAACCGTATCGACAAATATTCGAAGGCATCGCTTGAAAAGCAAGGAAATGTCACTTATAATGGTCCAATACGTGATTTAATAATTGCATATGGTGAGTTCCATATTCTTCCGTATATACATAGAACAATTATGTCTATTTTCAGAAAGCTGATTAAGCCAATAGAAGTGTCCTTATTTGTGACGGATTGTTTTGAGTATTCAATAGCTGAGCTCGGTCTCGTATTTTGTCCATTTTTTTCTGGAATAGTTATTCTACTACTTCCAATAACTTAGTGCTTATCGCGTTTTGTAAAATTTGTCCTAAAGATCGACTCATTACTAATAGTGATTAATGTTAATGAAATACTCCTAAATAAAATCGTTTTCAGGTTGGTAATTTCCTATTTCATTACTGAAATGAAATCTCTGATTCGCAGATCGTGCATTATTTCCCTAGAGTTTTTGTAGCAAGCAAAAGAGGAGTTACAATAATTGATTAGGTCAAGGAACTGCGAAATAGATGGACACCAATAATAAGAATAGGATAATGACTAAATGTTTATGTAATATATCCCTTCTCCGACCAAAAACACCATGTCATTCATTAACTTGGTTAGCTCATTCTGAGGATGCTTAAATCTCTTTGGTTTTTTTTTGCATATAGACGAAGATGAATGTTGTGTTGGAACTATCTGTCACGTCAACTCTACCTGCTCAGATTCTCGGGGAAGTTTTAATTGCACTTGTAATGACGGTTTTATTGGGAATGGAACGGATTGTGAAGGTAATGTACCTTTTTAAGGTATACTAGGCTGTTATTTCGCGGAATGTAGCTGTATTAACAGTTGCCAAAACCAGGCGTAGCAACGGCTCATCCATCTTATTGCATTGTACCTGCATGGCATGGCCAGTTGCCATAGCTAGCTGGCTACTGTCTAGAAACTCGGCACAAAGTTTAGTTTAAGTTATCGTACCCTGTAAGAAATCATAATAACAATGAGTACAATATCGTTTTTATGAACGTTGCAACCGAAGCGTGTTAATTTTATATTCGCCACTGAAAGAACTCGTTCTAGACTAGCCATTCCTCTTTGGTAGTCCATGTTGGGCGATTGGATTTGAGTAATTGCAGGGATGTTTTGTATGTCTCAGAAAATGATCGAATTAATTGCCCTTTATTTTCTTTGCTTGCAGAAAATGTTTGTATGTTTTACTTATATCTTAATTTTGACTTCCAAATTATTTCCAATCATTTAGATGCTAATGAATGTTTGGACGATCCCTGCCACCAGAATGCCACCTGCGTTGATATAATTGGTTCATTTGATTGTGTTTGTAATGATGGATTTGTAGGAGATGGTCGTGACTGTGGAGGTAAGGATACACCAAAGCTAGAAATAGAAATCGAGAACCATGTTGCATTATTAAAACACCTCTGTTTAGTACCCAACAAAGATGTTGCATTGTACTGCCAAAGCGTTCAGTAATTGTCTTAAGAATTTCAATTTTCGTACATTCATTTTTCTGTAAACATAGGCCTGTTTCAAAAACGTTGTGCTTCTCATGCTCTCCAGCCAGCTAACTGAGCTAAGAATTAAGAGTAGACAGACACAGCTTTTTTGTGGGAGAATGGGTTATGGGGGTGGAGTACTCCTGTTACAATAAGTGTCACATTCTATGTATATTTAACCCAATAGACTCTGTATGGCCTTATATTTCATCCTGTGGGGTATATATAAGGCCTGCTCTGACAACCCTAGGGGTAATGATCCCTAGGGCTGCCGTGGGAGTAAGGGTCCCCAGAGCACATGCCAGAAGGGTAGCGACCCCCCTCTGACCTTATTAACCTGAACCAAAGGGTAAGGATCCCTTGGACAGTTCCTATAACTCGGCCGATTATATTTACATTGAATGAGTCTATGTGCATGAAGGTGACCTTTGGGAGCACTTCAGCCCCAAACCATTAAATATTTTATTGCAATAACTTAAGGTTACAGAACACCTTTGAGTGTTAATTTTGCCTAAAATTCTTTTATTGGTTTCAATGAAAGCATTAAACTAGTTCTACTATCTGACCAAGTTTGAACGAAAAATGTTGAAAACTCGCAGAGTTATTTAGTAAAATACATTTCGCTGTAATAAGAAAAACATTGAAAATGTAATATTCAAATTCAATTTTCTCCCGAAAAATTTACGGTAATTACTGATTTTCAAACGAGTTGTGCTCCTGCGGGTTTTAACCAATTTTTCTCACATTTTCACAGGACATAGCTAACGTGAGTTTCAAAATTGTGTTCGGCTTTTTTCTAATTTTGGATATTTTAAAAATAAAGAGCAATTCACTCAAACAATTCAGAAATATATTGCAGTCGTCAAAGAAATCGCCATATCAGCGGCATGACGAAATAAACAAAAATTTCCGAACACAATTTTTTAGAACAACTATTTTACTGTGTAAAAATGATATTTTCATAAATATAACTTAAACCAGCAGGAGCACAACTCAAAAGCGTAAAGGCACCGCGATTTAAGATTTTCCTGAATAATTCTTACATTATTTTATTGTTTATTTATTTTACAACTTTACCATATTTTGCATGCACTGGAGAACATTTGGTGAAAATTTGATGAAAATCGGACTGATATTGAGCGCGCAGTAGCGATTTTCCGCAAAACGCCAAAAAGGGTGTCCTGTAACCTTAAACAAGTAATAACAACAATTATTAATGCCCTACTGTTTTTGATAAATACATATATAATATGATATAATACATCATGCACCGTGACAGTGTACTCTAGTGATGCATGGTAATTATCTCCAATGATAGTGTTCTCCCATAGGCATAGTTGTGATCTCCAGTAATAGTGATCTCCAATAATAATGTTCTTCCATGACAGTGTTCACTGTTCACCATAGGTGTTTTCTGTAATCCCTTTTAACAAGCGGTGGGTGGGTGGGTGGGAAAGTGTTACAGTAGCTTTGGAACATTGTCATACAAATTAGACTAAATTTGTGGAGAGCATTGCCCATTAATGAGGCATTCCATCTGATTATCTATTGTTTTTAATGCGTTCGGCACATGAGAAACGCGACGTTTGAAACAGGCCATATTGATAAAAGATAGTGTACGCGCTATAAAATGTCGAATTAAAATGTAAGACATGCATCCTTTTAAGGATATTAGCACAATTTTTATTCCTATGTAAATCTTCCAAAATTTCTCTGTCTACATGAAAAATTTAGGTGCTTTTCTGCAAATTATTTCAGATAAAAACCCGAAACTAAACATCATGTTTACTCGTGCTCTTATTATACAGTGTGTCTAAAAAAAAACGCTGTGGAAATTCAACAGGCTGACGTGCTTCATAAACGTAGCTAAACAATTTAATTTTTACATAGGAAGAAAGAGCTGTTATTTAGCTTTTTTATGCATGATACCTTTTTTAAATCGTAAGGATGAGAAATGGCCATATACTCGTCAAATAAAAATTGCTGGTCGAAATCACATTCTTCCACCGTTGAGAATTAAAAACACATTAATTATGCAAGGTTAGTCAATCCAAAAGCAACGCGAGCCTGCTGCAAGCCATTTGTTTCGTAAAACGTTTTGATTACGAATGTTTTCTGTTCAGGGATTAATTGAACCATGTTTACTGGACGTTCTTATTGAGTTATTTATTGTCTCACTAAGACGAGTTGAGCTCATTTTAGATAATTTAACATTCAATTTTAATTCCCTCATGGGAATTGTCTTTGTTTCGTTTTCCATGCAATTCCCAACGCTGGAAGAATGTGATTTCGACCGGCAATTTTTATGTGACGAGTATGTGGCCATTTCTCATCGTTGCGATTTGAAGGAATTTTAGAGTATCATTTTGAATTTCCATAGCGTTTTTTTTAGACACCCTGTATAGGCCTACTATATCCGTAACTCAGGAGTTTCCTGATTAGAAATTTTCAAATAATAATATTAACAATAGTGATAATTCATTTCAGCTTTCAACTGCAGTATTCTTTCCTGCGGAGAAAATGAAGAGTGTATACAGGAAAACGATATATTTAAATGTGTGTGTAAGGATGATTATGCAGAACCCGATTGCCGTCTGGGTAAGTGTGCAATTGCTGTTTTGTATATTATTATTTCCACATTAGCGAAATGAAGAAAAAAGTTTTCATGTTTTCTTTTAAGTAATTCTATTTCTTTGACCTAAATTTCGTTTTTGCCACTCTTTTTCAACACTTTTATCCAACAACAATTTTTTTCATTTATATTGTACTTCATAAGAAACGTTCAAAATTGTTGTGCTTTGCTTCTAAAATTGAGCGGTAAATGTTTAATTTTTAATTATTCATAATTGATTTTAATTATTTACAAAATCTAACAGTTGAAAGAACATGCCTAGCAAGAGGTGATCCACACTACTCGACATTTGATGGAACACGTTATGACTTTATGGGTAAATGTGAATACGTTCTGGCTAAAGACAGTAGAAATAACACATTTGAAGTAAGACAAGTGAATGAACCATGTGGAAATGGAGAACCTTCCTGCACAAAATCTCTAACAGTGATTTTCCCAGATGTGACTATCCAACTACTGCGGGGAAGTGTGATGGTAAATGACACAGCAATTGTTTTGCCTGCAACGTATGGAGGTAAGTTCTTTCAAACTTCTCACTAGATATAATGCTTCAAGAATTAGAATTTCAAACTAAATGTATTGTGCAAAAATAAAAGAATACCGTTCTATTTCTAAAAACATAAATTTAAAAAAAACAAAAATTTCCCTTTTATTTTTTTTTGCAAACTGCTGCTTCATACTTGATTAGTAATTTAGTACAGACAATTATTTTACTAATAAATCGGAAAGTGGCTAATATTTAACATCAATTTTCAAAATCGATCCTTTATTTTTTGTATAAAGGTGTGACAATAACTGAGCCAAGCAACAGAGTAACGTTGATCGAAAGTGATTATGGTGTAGAAGTTGAATGGAATAATGTACGTAATGTGAGAGTGACAGTGCTTGGTCGCTATCTGAACAGAACATCAGGTTTATGTGGAACATTTAATGGAAATTCTGGAGATGATTTCTTGGCAAGAAATGGAACAACTGTAGGCAATGCTGTAACCTTTGGAAATTCTTGGAAAACTGAACCTGACTGTGATGATGCAACAGATGTACAACATCCATGTGTAACTTACTCTGACAGAAACGCGACTGCTATAGCCAACTGTTCAGCTTTGTTATCTTCTCCATTCGATGGCTGTTCAAGCCAGATTAATCCAGTTTCAAAGGGTTATATTACTGATTGTGAGTATGATGTATGTGCTTGTGATGATGATTCTACAGTTTGTCTATGTCAAGCAATAGAGGCTTATGTCAGTGATTGTAATTCAACTGGAGTGGATATTGACTGGCTGAGTGATCCACGATATCAACAATGTGGTAGGTCTCAGCTTTAGTATATTTTTTATAGCAACCTGTACGATATCGTTATTAATTAACTGTTTGTTTATGATGGGGCAGGGAAAGCAACCTATACGATATCGTTATTAATTAACTGTTTGTTTATGATGGGGCAGGGAAACCGGAGTACCCTTAGTAGAGGTGTGCAAATCGATCGGATTCGTTCGGATTTCGGAACCAAAATATTCATTTCGGATCGTATCGGATTGATAAAGTTGTTTCGTAGTCGGATGGGATCGGATCGGACTTCGATATCCGAAATAAAATGAATTAATTATCCACGCATTATCGCAAGAATTAATTATCCATGCATTTATCAAAGCATTATCGCGGTTGTCGCTGCATTATTCGTTTGATTCTTGGACGTCACTTTGTCAGCTTCTTGACATGTATTCCAAGCTTTTATATATATTTAGTTAAATATTTCAACTTGAATGAGAAATTGATTTTATTAAAGAATTTTTCGGATCGGATTGGATTGGAATTCTTTATCGAAACTCGGATTCGGATTAGACAATTTCGGATCGGATTTTAAACATTAGGCAATTGTCGGATTGTAAACGTCCAATCCGATCCGATACGCACCTCTAACCCTTAGTGCACCCATCGAATCGTAGGAAATTACTAAAAAGAACAACTCTACATACATGAGTTTTCAAGCACATCAAGTCTGAAGAGGATAGGGCCCATTCTAAATAATCTCATTGTCCCCTCTAGACGGCTGGCCAAAATACGACAAAGAAATGTTTGATGGCATTTTTTGTTACAAGCTGCCAATTGCCATTTTCTTAGAGCTCGAGTGTTGGCATTAATGAAGAAGGCCATTTATTTTTGTTTTGGCTTATAGCCTATTTTCAATGTTATAAATAAATTATGCCATTAGAAAGTTCGCAAGATGCTATATATAAAACAAGTAAGCGAGTAACATGCATATAATTTTCTTAGCCGATTTTGAGTTTTTAACGTTCTGAACAAGAAGGAAAAAATGTACCAATTTATGTTAATAGCTACTATTTTGCCAACTTTAAGCTCCTTTAAATCAAAATCGTTGCTTGAAAATTTGCACTACGGACTTAAATGTCTTATTTGTACTTTTCGCAAATTTTCTAATTGTATAGTTTATTCTTGTGGAGTGTAAACTTAAATAATTTTGCATTTTAGGCAGAATTTTAAAATTGGCAAATTTTTGGCTGTAACGCCAAAATCAGAGGTGCCAATTACGTATACAGTCTTGCACACCAATATCTAAACAATTAGAAAATGCAAGTTGTTCATTACAAATGTTTTTTGCATTAATCCAATATAGGAACTCCATGTGCTAGTGATCCATGTTACAATGGTGGGACTTGTTCAAATAATGGATTATCGTCATTCTCATGCTCTTGTGGTGTTGGGTTCACAGGTGTCCGCTGTGAAATTGAAGGTAACTGTTTTTATCATAGGGATGATAATATTTATTTATTTATATTGCTCTTCCGGATTGCAAATTTATTACAAAATATTTTATATTGTCTAACGTTTTGGTGTCCTCTACAGAAACTTTTTTAAGTGGTAGAAATTGAAATAGATAGATGTAGAAATAATGTTTGTTAGATTAACATAGTAATTCGGGATGCTGTATCTATAGGATTACGTCTAATATTCCTACATTTCGAACAGTGAGATATTTAATAGACCTGCGTTTTCATTTAAAATCATGCTTTACTTCAATTTTGCATTGTTCTCAACAGTTTAAGTTATTTTATTTTTTTCTCTTATTCGAATTTGTCATTTTCCTCTTGTTCCTTTTAGCTTTTTAATTATTTCGTTTTACTATTTACGTTCTCCTTTTCTAACTGTTCATTTTCAAGATATTTGTTTGTTTTCCTCGTCTTTTTTCTCATTTTTTTCCACGTTTTCTGCCTTATTCTTTTCTTTCTCTTTCCAATTTTTTTCTTCGTTTGGTACTTTTTTTGTTTTTCTTTTAATTTTTTATCTTCCATGCTGTAGTTGATAGTTGTGAAGACCTGTCATGTGGCGAAAATCAAATTTGTGTAATGGTTGGAGATACATATCGGTGTGTTTGTGACCCTGATTTCAATGGAGAGAATTGTGAAAATATAGGTTAGAATCGGTTTATTAATTCTGATGCTTATTTTAAACGAAAATTTAATTTTTTACATATTGTTTTAAAGTATTACTTGCAAGCGAGATTATTTCTGCATATATGTTCAGTATTCTTGTTTTGTAGTCGAACCATTGGTTTTGCATAAAAATCTTATGTTTTAATTTAATTAACGCTCATATATTCTTTTTAGTTGAAGCAACATGTAAAGCTCAGGGAGATCCGCATTACACCACATTTGATGGAAGACGTTATGACTTTATGGGTAGATGTGAATATGTTCTGGCTAAAGACCGTGTAAACAACACATTTGAAATAAGGCAAACAAATGAACTATGTGGAAATGGAGTACCTACATGTACAAGATCATTAACAGTAATCTTCCCAAATATAACAATTGAACTCCGAAGAGGAAAGACTTTAGTAAATGGTGCGGAAATCACAATGTCAGCTAATTATGGAGGTATAA